TTAAGACATCAAAAGAAAGCAAAGTTATTGTTATAAAAGAGGCTTCAGATTCATGAAAAAATGTGCATAAAATGCTGTATGGAAAAACAGCTCATTGTTGTCTTCCCCCCTCTCCCTTTTATTGTGAGAACTTAATTCTCTTAGAACTGAGGAGGATAAGTATTTGTGTGAAATATCTTTTGGGGTTTTTATCTTTTCCTGTTTTTTCTTCCCTGGAAGTGTTCAAGGCCAGGTTGGACAGAGATTGGAGCAACCTGGTCTAGTGGAAGGTATCCCTGCCCATGGCAGGGGGATGGAATGAGATGATCCTTAAGGTCCCTTCCAATCAAACCCTCTTTTCTTTCCACATCTCCTTTTCCTCACTGTAAACACCCCATAAAAAGTGTTGTTCCATCCCAGAACACCTATTCCCTACATCCCAGAATAGTTCACAGTGTCATCACCTCATCCAAATGCACCTGCCCCACCTTAAGAAAGGTGCCATGGAGAGTCATTCCTTGGGCTCATCTTGCTGGGTGTCACTGCTGGGCCCTGGGGCTGGGCCCTCTCCTGTGGTGGCCCTTGGAATAACCCATGTCTGGTGCTTGGTTGGGTTGTTCTCCCACCTCTTATTGTTCCTCTGTGCTCCTGTTTTTGGGTGGAGACAGGCCTTTGTCACATAATGGAACACTCTGCACTGTGCCCCAGCCTGTCAAACACAACCCACCCCCACTGCTACCTCCCTGTCTTGTGTTTAAAGACCCAGGGCTCCATCTTCCAGAACAGTTAAATTAGGTGCTCTTACTTCACAGTAAGAAAATTTACGGAACAATGCAGAAAACAGCTTTGATTTCTTTATTTTTGATCAATGGTTGCACCTGCAACAAAGTAGGTTTACACTTTCTGCACAGAAGAGGTTTCCTTGCATGAACTTGCCTTTTCAGCTTTAAACTGGCAGAGGGCAGGGTTGGATTAGAAGGAAATTCTTGATTGTGAGGGTAGTGAAGCCCTGGCACAGGTTGCCCAGAGAAGCTGGGGCTGCCCCATCCCTGGAAGTGTTCCAGGCCAGGCTGGATGAGGCTCTCAGCAACCTGGGCTAGTGGAAGGTGTCCCTGCCCATGGCAGGGGGTGGAACTGGATGATCTTTAAGATCCCTTCCAAGCCAAACCATTCTGGGATTTTTTCAGAGTGAGGAGACCTTGCTCTGCTCACATGAGCCAAGAACAGACTCTCAGATTTATTGTGTTGACTCTTGTGAGCAGCCACATCTGGGGGGACTTTAGCAAATTTAGTGGGATTTAGGATCGGAGACCCTTTTTGCTCTCTCTCAACATGCCCTAAGTGCAAGGTGGTGACTTGTTTCTCAGAAATTTTGCTTCCAGTTTCAACAGCACTCAATATTTAGAACCTGCAGAGCTCAGAGTAAATGCATTTCCCTCAGCCCTGGTTTCCCACACACACTCGTGGGGACAGTGATGTTTTTACACGTGTGACTCTTCAGACAAAAGATCCCAGGTGACACCTGCAATGCAGCCTGGCCTTGCCTCTGAGAATTGCTTTAGGAATCCGTCAAGAAATCCATGACTTAAGTTTTGGGAGGCTTTGATAAAAGCCTCTGCATATACGTGTCTGGTAATGGAACAAAACTAATCTATACCACTAACCATTACGAGCTTTTTTTTAAAGTTATTTCAGTGTAATTTGGGAAATAGAATTTCAGCTTGATACTTTATAATAAAGTGTGGTGATTAATATTCCAATCATATCTGAAAGACCTTCTAATTTATGCCATATTTTGATTGGGAGTCGTGATAGGTATTTTCAACAGTCTCCAGGGAAGCAAAATGCAGAATTAAGTGCAGATTATTCAAGATTGGTCTACAAGGTGATATATGTTCAAGTTCAATCTGTATAATTAAATACTGACTGTTACACTATTTTTTTATTTCAGCAGAGGTGATATATCACCCCAAAATGAATACAGTTTTCCTCTGGATTTGTCCATTATTGTGGATTTGTGCACTATTAAATATCAAATATTTTAGAAATGCAGGAGGACTGCAAAAGTTTGTCAGAGTTACTAAATATATGTAAGATTTATTGTATGTACTTGGTTTATTTAATCCAGATGTTTGTATTTTGCATACTCTCAGAAGTATTAAATAGGCAACATCAAAGAAAATTTATGGAGTAAAGCAGGCAGAAGAAAATGCATAATGAAATGCTGGACAAAGACATCTTTACATTTGCTGTCAGAATGAATTATGGTTCTGAGTACATATATCCTGATAGCATGAACTGCTTATCAGCTTGCAAGGCACCCAGTGCTTTCTGAGTTGAACTAAACTGGTTATTTCTCTGCCCAGAATGGTTTAGAGATCTTTGTTTGCCACCCAATATACATATTCTTCAAGAATATACATATTCTCACTTCTTTGAAGAATTATCCCTATATAAAGATCCAGAAGGATCCTGCTCTCCAACAGCTCTTTGTTGTAATACCCATCAGGGACCTCTCTGACTTTGCAGTTTTAAAGTGTATTAAGGTAGGAGAGAATTATTAATGCTGGGTTGGGGAAGGAGACAGGAAAATGTCACTATCTTTTTATTTCCCCTTCTCTGTTCTTTCTGTTTTCAGTGATTTGTTCTTTTATTCATAGATAATATATAGCATGTTTGTTTGTTTGTTTGTTTTTTATTTTATGGGTTAAAAGTAAGTTTAATTTATGTAAAGGAAAAGAAGATTTTTTTTTTTCTCTTTTCACTGTGTTGGAGATTAATCTTAGTAAAAGTGGATTTACAGGGAGCTCTTTTATGCACCATCACATACTTCTCACTTGTAATTTAGGGCCCAGCTCTTCATCTCTTTCTGCCATGCCAAATTTTCTTCTTAGAGAATCATATTACCATTAGAGACATTTGCTTTTAATATCACAAGTGAAGGATGCAGGTTCTCATCCATCAGGAGACATTACAGCATGATGGATTAGTGACTGCTTTTTGGGACTTGGTGCTGTGTATCCAGGGAAAAAGGAGGGAGGCATCTTTGGGAACAGCCAAACATTATAACACACACCAAGTCACTTGTATAACTTTTTAGAAATAGCGTATTATCATTAAAATCAAGATGTCTGTGAGGATTTTGTGAATTATTACCCAGAAATACCTTCTAACTTTCAGCAGCTGGACTTAATGAAACTGTAAACACACATGTAACATGTGTGTAAAATATTAATGTCTGGTCTTCAAGTTTATTAGAGTTTTGACAGACTACATGCTCATTAACTTTTGGGAATGTGTCTTTTCAGACAGGAAGCTTTAACGAACAAGTTTAATTCATTTTAAAAAAAAAGCAACCAGAACACCAAAACCCAAACAGAAAAAAAAAGCCCTAACCCAACAAGTAACTGTAGAAAGTTTCCTGAAGTTTTTTGTTCAGAGGAGGAACGTTTCTGGTGTGTACATTAAAGAAACCTGACTTATGTCACAAGTACATTTTTCAAGTGTTAGCATTACCACTGGCTCTCTGCCCTGTGCAGCACAGGCAGGAAATAGGAGCCAAATCATGTTTTACTTAGCAGTTCCTATAACTTTATACCTCTACAGATTTATGATTTGCTAAGCTTAGAGTTGTATCAATTAACTAGGACACACTGAGGAGGGAGAACGTGGTTCATGTGCTGGGACACATCTACAAGAGTTTCTTAAAGAAAAAAACCTGACAGCTACCTCAATGACATTGCCTTGCAGAAATGCACCATAACTTAGTTTACTCCTTATTTATTAGGATCAGGAAGAGGAGAGGGATGAAATTCCAGAGTTCTCTGAGCCTCTTCTGGAGCTTAATGGCCAGTTTAAAGTCGCCTCACCAAAATACAACGGTCCTTTGTTTCCTCCGGTGGCTTCTGCCCCTCAGCAGCCTGCTGATGTTTTGGATGAACTGATTCAAAGGAGAGAAACCATCGAAAACAGGCTGATAAACTGGTGAGTTGCAATGTAACAAAAGTGGCAAAAGAATATATATGGAAGGGGGGAATGATTCCCTAATTATCCTTCCCTTTCTTCTCGCCTCCGTTCCCTTCTTCCTTTTCCTTTGAGCTGCTCTGCATTTCATGTCAAGGATGCTCTTTTGTGTGCTTTTAGGTGTCTTGGTGTTTGCTGATAGTTAAAAAGATTTTATTCTGCCAGGGTGGAACAGGAAATAATGGCAAAAATTATCAGTGGGATGTGCCCAGCTCAGAAGGAAACAGTGCCCAGTGTCAGCACCTCGGAGAGTGGAGACGAGGAGGTTGTAACCCCTGACATTGGTAAGAGGGAGTTACTGTTCTCAGCAGATGGGATATCTCAATTTTTGGCTAATTTTCACAAGCTGTGTAGGTAGCTGTTGCCTGAGCCTAAGGGTGGATAATGCTGAACCAGTGAAACTGTAAAAAGCAGCAGTGCACACTTTAATTTATGTTGTGTTATAAGGCCACTGAAATAAATTATCTGGGGAAAAAAAAGGGAAAAGAAGGCATAAATCACCCCACTGTACAAATCACCTTCTGTTACTGACCATCTAAATCAGACTTGGCATTTTGCTAAGCCTGTAATGTTTGTTTGCCTTTCTTTTGTTAATAGATATGTCAGAAATCACCCCCCACTTTGTAAATGTGTGAGAGTGGAGAGAAATGCATTTCTCCTGTGATGTCACTGCTCTTTGCTGTTGCCTTCTTTTATGATCAGGAATTGTTTCTCTACTCTTGTTTATCTTTAAAGTAAAAAAAAAAAAAAAATCACTTTTTTCAAAGGAATGTTTAAAAGCTCATGGAGAACAAAATGAGTGGCTGCAGTACAGAACCTGCATTTTAGGAGGTGGGACCTGGATGTGAGTTTTATGTTCCTTCTTTTTCAGTTGAAGTTGCAGGTGGAGGAGGATTTCAGCTCTTTGTCAACGCTGGTGTCCCTGTGGACTCAGAAATGATAAATCATTTTGTAAATGAAGCTCTCAGTGAAACAATTGCAACCATGCTGGGTGACAATGAGGCTCAGAGAGCAGTTCCTGATCCAAATGTTCTTCCAAGCACAGTGACTAAGGTGGTAAGTGTCCATTTTACCTAAGCCTTCCTACAGAAGTTCTAAGGGATAATTTCTCCATGGCATGACGACAGGAAAGGATGGATGAACTGAATGTGAATTGTTTGCCTTTTTTTTATAATTCCTTATTATACCCCAGCAAGCAACAAGATTAAACCTATTTGCCCCTCTGCTGTGCTCTGTTGACACCCACCTGGCTGTGTTGTGTCCAGGCCTGGAGTCCTCAACATAGGAAGGACATGGACATGGAGCCAGTCCAGAGGAGACCATGAAGGTGCTCAAAGAGCTGGAGCCCCTCTGCTCTGGAGACAGGCTGAGAGAGCTGGGGGTGATCACCCTGGAGAGGAGAAGGCTCCAGGGAGACCTGAGAGCCTCTTCCAGTGCCTAAAGGGGCTCCAAGAGAGCTGGAGAGGGACTTTGGACAGAGCCTGGAGTGACAGGTCAAGGGGGAATGGCTTCCCACTGACAGAGGACAGGGTTAGATGGAATATTGGGAAAGAAATTCTTGGCTGTGAGGGTGGTGAGGCCCTGGCACAGGTTGCCCAGAGAAGCTGTGGCTGCCCCATCCCTGGAAGGGTTCCAGGCCCGGTTGGACAGGACTTGAAGCATCCTGAGCTAGTGGAAGGTGTCCCTGCCCATGGCAGGGGGTAGAACTGGATGATCTTTAAGATCCCTTCCAAGCCAAACCATTCTGGGATTCTATTTCACTTTTGAAAAAAGAAATTGAAGAGAAATCAAAATCAATTCCCTTGTGCTGCTGCAACATGCTGGATTTATTTATTTATTTATTTATTTATTTACTTTAAGGATGAGCACAAAACTAATTTCTAAGGAAAGGACTTGGTACTTAATTTCACATTGTCAAAAGACAGCTCATGTTATTTTCAACAAAAATAAGTTATTGTTGCTCACTTGCAATAAATGAAATGTAAAGAAACTAATTTCTTCGTCTAAGAAGAAAAGGAAGCTGAGAGTGATATTTTTGGTCTTGTGGGCTTGCAGCCATTCTTTAATATCTGTTAAAATGGCTATTAATTCTTTCTGAGTTTTGAGCTCAGTAGTTTTCAGTAAATGCTTAATTGATTAGTAGAGCTTCCTGTAATAGAGGATAATTTCCTGTGTTCCCTTTGATAATCAGATGACAGCTGGCTCTTATTTTGATACCAACGTGGCTGTGCTGCAATCTGGTGTTGTGTAATGTCTTTGGGATGCATGTGGAAATTGCTGTGCTTAGAAATCCAACTATTGGAGGCTTTGTTGAAGTGGGATCAGTCATTTTGTTCTGCTCAGTGCATTTAGGCTGAAATACCACCTGGTGCCTGCTGGAAGGGACAAACAGGTTATTCTGTAGTCAGAAGTGATCAGTTCACTGCTGTGGGCTGAAATACAGCCCTCCTGCATCTCTTCCCCACTCCATTAAGGAGAGCCTGATGTCCAAGATGTTCCTTGTAGCCTGTTATTCTGGTCCTTGGAAACCTCTTCTGTTGTCCATCCTACATTTACTAATGGCCCTTTTGTTGCTGTACCAGCTTCAACTGAAATATCCTTAGGATTATGAATTGTTCATAATCCTGAAATGATTGTTTTTTCCTTATTCCATATATGTTGCCCACTCCAAGAGATGAGTTTTGTCCTTTTTGGCCTTTGTTTAATTAGCCTAAATAAAGCAATCATCCACGTGGGGGCCGTTTTTTGACTCTTCCTTATAGGCAGCTTTGATGTTTTCTAATTTAGGTTAGTCTGGAGCACAGGTAACACTAATATGCTAATAACATTTTTAATAATAATGTGGTCTGTGAGATGGAGTTTCCTCAGTGCCTTGTGCTGTGGTAGTGATAGTCTCCAGCCTTCCTTGGAATCTCAGGTGGCCAATTATGTTTTTTAAAGCCTTTCCATATTTGTAGCTGGTAGCTATCCTTTAGCTTGTGCTATCATGAGGGTTTTTTTAATGCTTCTTTTTCCATTTGTGCTGAGCTTATAGCAGAAGTTTTTGAATATGTAGTTGATGCATCTTGATCTGTCCCTTCCCACTGTGAAGTTTCCTATCTAGAACTGCAGCTGTTCCTTAATTCTTTGGTGTCGCAATGTGAGCTGCCAAATGTGTTGGCATGTTCCACTTTCCATAAGAGATTCTAATAAAAATCTGAGGACTTATTCTTCAGAAACTATACTGGAAGTCTTCCTATAGCCTCGTTGTCTTGTTTTCTTTATGAAATGTCAGAGAACCAAGCTGGAAAAATTCTGGAAAGGTCCATCATATTCCTCCATAGCAGCTTAAATGGCAACCATCATACTTGTCAGATTTATGTCCATTGCTGTCATCTTTAAAAGGAACATCACAATTACATTTGTGCTTATTTTTGTGCTTTCCTGTCTCGTCTGTTCCTTTGTTTGCAATCTTCCTTTTAGCTGATTTTTCTTGCCATAAAATTACCGTATCACTCAATTTTATCCGTGTCACGAAATATTTTCTTGCTTAGCATTGTATCAAATGCTTTATTAAACTTCATGTAATAATATAATTCATATTTAGACTGGACATTAGGAAGCATTTCTTTACCAAGAGGGTGGTCAAACCCTGGGACAGGCTTCCTAGAGAGGTGGTTGATACCCCAGACCTGTCAGTGTTTCTCAGGCTTTTGGACAATGCCCTTAACAACATACTTTAAATTTTGGTCAGCCCTGGAGTGCTCTGGCAGTTGGACCAGATGATCACTGTAGGTCCCTCCCAACTGAAATAGCCTGTTCTATTCCATACATAATGATTTCCCAGTGTAATCATTCTAATGATTTTAATTTAATTTGTAAAGGTTTTAATTTATTTTCTCCAGTCACGCTGTTTAACCCGGCGCACCTTTCTGTTTAGATGGAGGAGTTAGATCCATGAAGATGTATCCAAGCAACAACTGTTCCAGTTCTGTGAAAACCTGCCTTTCTCTCTCTTCCTCAGCTCTCTCTGGGGATACTTGGAAGGCAGGAATTCTGCCTGGAGATAACAACTGTGGTTATGATTTTTCTTCCCCTCAGGAGTCTCCTGTGCCTACGCCACTGCCAACCCCCCAGGCCACACCACCACCAACACCACCTTCAGAAAAGGAACTGCCCCCAGTCAAAACTCCAGAGTCGTCTCCATCACCCACAGAAATGAGTGGGGATGTTCATGAGAGTGAAAAACCTAAAGAAACAGGTATTGAAAATAATAATTGAAGTTTAGAAGCAGCAAATATGCTTTAATCTACTGCCTTTAATTTTCCTCTTCAAAGACGTGTTATCTCTCAGGATAAATATTCTTGAGGCTACAATACAAGTGGGAACTTATGTAGTACAGAAAATATGGGCTAATTTATATAAAAAGCAAACATTTTTTATTTGGTAACAGTTCTATTTTCAAACTTAATGCGGATTTCTGTGGTCTGTGTCATTTCCACCCCTCCCAATCCCTCCCCAATTTTTCACATCAGAAAAATAGCTGTCTTTTGCTCTTTCCTGCGTTTCTAATGTTAATTAAGTCAAATGCACACTTTTCAAGTAAATGGAGAGTGTTTTTAAAATGCAGAGCAGTCTCCCTTATTAAAGGAAGTAAGAAATTGAGGTTTTACTCTAAATTCTTCAGGTGCCAACACTGTAATTAAAAGAAGCTATTCTTAATCTAGTCTTGTCTCCATAGCTATCAAAAGGTATCACAAAAACTGCAAGTGCTTGGTAGAAGTGCCTAGATCTGAGATTTGCTTCCTGCTTTCCTTTCTGATCTGGAATTTGGCTTCACACCTGCAGGAGCTGGGATTCCAGCAGCCACGGGCCGTGTTGGCACACCCGTGGTTACCCCTGTCAATACACCCACAGCAGCCACACCCAGCCCTCCTGCCTCAGAGGGGGGCTCCCACACTGCCAAAATGGAAAGTCCAAAGGCTCCAAACCCGTGGGATGGTGCTGAACTTCCTCTGGAAGAAGAGAAACCCAGTCCTTTAGCTGAGGAACCCCTCCGTCCCAAGGCCGTGTGAGTTGAACAGGCTGCACAGTTTCCTAAAAAACATGAATATGTATATTCTTTCTACATATACCCTCAAAAAGCCAGTAGAAAGAAATGCTTTATCTGTGTGTCAGGAGGCAATGAGATAAGCCAGAATTCTATTTTCTTTTTTAATTGCTTGTATTGTATTTTGGAGAAAAAAATGTGGAATCATAACCTTTCTCGGGGTTTATCAGTCCTTATTCATTGTCCTGCTGAATGCTGTCCACAGTAAACTTGTATTGCTACACCTGCCAGTAATACATGTACTGACAACGAAATATTGTGTTATTAGCATTTATTTTTTCTCTTACCTCCTTGGGAATACACCTGGTAATTTTTAGTTGGAGCCAGAAATTTGTTAATAATATTATTTAGCCGTGTTGGTTCTCAGGCTATTCTGTGAAATGCTGTGTTCCTTCTTTTGAAAAAAATACTTGGGAAGTAATTTCTCGTCAGTATTGAATTAGGACTTCAGTCTGTATTGTTCAGAGTGGTTTGGTGTGTTCATGTAGTGCATGTTCTCCTCCTGCAGTGAGATGTCAGTGGCTAATGATGAGGAACCAGAGGCCTTGATTTTACCATCCCCACAGCCCTCAGCGAGGCCCCTGGAGTCACTTCCAAACAACCTCCAGGTTCCATCCCCTGCACCTACAGTTAGTTCTGGAGTGTCCACACAGGAAAGCAGCATCACCCCCACAGAAACTGAAACTACAGACAGACCCATCTCAGAAGGGGAGGTGCTCTTCAGCTATGGACAGATGCTGGCTGCAGGAGGTAACCAACTGGATACATCTGTGGAAATTAGAATTTGAATTCATTTTTATTCTTTATAAACTCTTCCAGTCTCCTGAAGTTACATTTCATACATTTTCTGATAAAGCTGCAAGCATTAGCCTGGCCCTTAACTTGCAGTTCATGAAGATTGAAGAGAGTTCGTTGTTCTTTTTTTTATCTCTGAACAAAATGCTGCTGTTTTTCAATGAAAAAAAAAGATTCAATCTGTTCTTTTGTCATGAGATCAACTTGGAAAATAATTGGGACTTGTCATGCTTAAGTACAATGTGGTACCAAGTTCTTACTGAAAGCAAAGTGTGAGAAATATGAAAATATGTCTTTATAACACATCCAGCAGTAGGAATTTCCAAATTTACTGAAGCACAGCGTTGTAATTATTAAAGAATGTGGTCTTGTTTTTTCCATGTAAAAACATTCATGTTTTTTTTAATAGCTGTAACACAAAATATTTTTCATTCTTAGCAGAAGGAGGACTGTCTCTTCCAAACCTCACTGAGAGCTTATCCAGCACTTTACGAGATGCCAATGAGATGGTAAGGAAATGTTTCCTAAGGAAACAGAGTTAATGTGGATTCCACCTTGGGCATCTTTATTCACTGGATGTGCTTTAAACATTTTCACTTACCAGCTCCTTAAATTTGCACTTTCAAGCTGTACACTCAAAAAGAGTGTTAGAATTTCAGAACATCAAAGACAAAAAAGTTGACATTATACAAACTAATTTATATTTTAAAAGGTTGGATTTATGTACTTCTTTAGGTGAGAGATAGCTAATACACATTTTTGTTTCTTTATTGTTTTTAGTTTTAAGACATCTTAAACAGAATAGAACATTGTTATGCTCTGAGCTGTTCCAGCTTTGAGCCATCTTTTAATTGCTTGTGTGATTAAATTATTCAAGTGGGTTTGCTGAGGCTGGAGTTAAAGCTGCTTAAAACATCAGTATAGTTCCTGATCTGATATCTGCTTTAGTCCCTTGTCCTGGAAGCCTCCCAAGTCAAGATATTCTCCATTCCCTTTCTGTTTTAACACTTTCCCTCAAATGCTTTGATTTCCCTCTCAGACTTTGTGTAATGTTTGGTAGGACAGAGATGTGATATAAATGATGGTTAACAATTCAGTTCAACAAGGAGAAATGCCATATCCTGCTCCCAAGGAGAAGCAGCTCCTTGCACCAGGACATTTTGGGGCCTGACTGGTTGGGAAGCAGCTTTGGGGAACAGTCTGGGAATACTGGTGGACAAGGTGAAATGGCTCAGCCACTGAGGCAAAGAAGGCCACCACCATCCTTTGCTGCACTGGGAAGAGCATTCCCAGAAGATCCAGGGAGGTCCTTCCTCTTTCCTCAGGACTGGTAAGACAGCATTTGGAGTGTTCTGTCCAGTTATGGGCTCTCCAGTATAAGAAAGATAAGGATTTAATGGAGTGGGTCCAGCAAAGCTCTGCAAAAATGATTCAGGGATTGGTGCATCTGTCACACTGAGAGAGCTCAGATGGCTCAGCCTGGAGGAGAGGAAGCTCTGAGGGGATCTTACCAGTGTGTATAAATACCTGGTGGAGAGAGGGAAGGAAGACAGAGCCAGACTCTTCTGCCTGGTGCCTGGTGAAAGACAGGAGGCAGTGGACACAGGTTGAAATTCAGAAAATTCTTTTTAAATATGAAAAATGTTTTTACTTTGGGGGTAACCAGGCTGAAAGAAGTGCCTTGAGCAGCTGGGATGGACCAGACAATCTCCAGAGGTCCCTTCCAAGCTCCATAAGGCAAATTTAAACGTCCTAGAGTAGGAATCCACCTCTCTTCTCCCTGCCTCTCCTTCCTAAACATTTCTACATATACATGGCCATACTCTGCCTGTGCATGTTTTCCCATTTAATATCCATGTTTTCATTCATGCCATAGAATCAGAGAATATCCTGAGTTTGAAGGGACCCACAAGGACCATTAAGTCCGACTCCCTCAGCACAGGACACCCCAAAAAAATCAACTGTAGTTATGAGACTGTGCCCAGAACCTTCAGATCTTTAAAGGCTCCTCTGTCTGCCACACATCCTCTCTTAAACTCTGGCCTTAAGACTCTTCACATCAGGGGAACTTACAGTTCTCTTCATCAGAATAACATTTGTTCGCTAAGATGTTCTTCCCTCTCTTTGTCCCCTGGATCCTCCCAGAGTCCTCCATCCTCTGTTTGGTGGAGGAGCTTAATTGCTTGGTGAGAGCAGCTCTGCAGCCAGATCATTGCTAGCAACTGCTGTGTGTGAGGATTTAACTGTTTCCCTGATCTTTGGAGGCCTAAAGGACCTTGTTCTTCCTTAAGTATTGCAGCCTTTTGCATCAAATAAAGACTGTGCATGCAAAGGAGAAAGCAGTGTGTCATCTGTTTGCTTATTTTTAAATGCCTGAATTTTCATGACACCATTTTTCAATTACAACTGTAACATCTTCCTGTTTAAAAAAAAAAAAAAAGCTTAGTTGTGAACTAAAGTAAGAATGAGCCAAGTTCTTACAAAAGCCAGTTTTGGATCATGTATTATGTGGGTTTTGTTTCTTTGTTTTAGGATTATGATCCTCCGAGTGAAGGGCAAGTTGTGAGGAGGCTGGATAAAGGATTTCACAGGGATCCTGTCCTGACTCTTTTAGCCAAATTAAATCAAGCACCTGTTTCTCCACAAGAGGGAATAGACCATTTGGAGGTAACTTACTGTCCTTTGCTTTCCAGTGCAGTAGTTTTGAAGTGGTGCTTTCCTACTCACAAGTAGATAAAATATTGCAAGATTATCCTACCTGTTGGCTGTAGAACAGGTTCATACACTTCATTCCCTGCTGGAAGTGATCCAACTTCTGTTGGCCCTTCTTCTTGTGTAAAACCTTTTAAAAACACTGAAATATTATTGTAAACAAACTGTACATAACGCCACATGTACCAACTTTTCAAGGTATGTATGTAACTATTCCCATTTTTTTATCACATTTGTCCTGTCACACTGAGTGCCAGGGAATTTCCTGTCACTTCAGCAGCATAGGTGGAATGTTTGACAGTACAAGGACACTGCACTTAACAGCCATAGGAGTGTTTTAGGGAGGTATGAAGAAGAACTCACCAAATGTTTAAAAGCACTTTGTTGATTCTGGTCTTGTAACAGAATCTCAAAATATTCCTGTTCAGTTGGCATAATAAAAAAAAGACTAACAGAAAAATAGAGCTATCTGCATCACGATTTTTTTTTGTTATACATCTAACTCCTTTCTATGTGGAAAACAGTAATTTGGACTGGGTGTTTATTCTGACTGACATAGCTTGAGGAATATTGGAAGGAAGTGAACTCTGAATACTGCAGTATGGTCCATGGACACCTTCATTTACAGCAGCTCTTGCTTTTTGTGCTTTTCCTGATGCATATGCAGTTTCTTCCTTCTGTCTTGGTCAGTTTAGTCTAAATAATTACTGACTTGACTCACTTCCTTAACTGCTCCTTTGTCTTTCTTTATTTTGCTAATGAGCTCTGGTGGATGGACTTGGTGAAAAGCTTTCTACAGTGTCAGCTCCAGAGTCTGGCTGTAATTGCAGTGACATTTTCTCATCAGCACTGCCAATTACAAATGCATCTCTAATTTGCTTTTCCCCTTTCCCATAGTCATGGACCGCTCAGTCTGTCCATGCAAGGCACTAATAAACTCCCCCCAGATTCTGGCAAGGTGTGTGCTGGGGTCTCTTCTCCTTTATGAGAGGAAAAAATATATCTCCCCTGTGTTACTAATATTGCCTTGGAATGATACTGTGCACTCCTGTGTATGTTCAACCTGTTTTCCTGAATGGAAGCAAGTTGTTTTTTCCAGGCACCTTTGAAAGTCAGGATCCAGAGAACCATCCCTGTCTTAAGTGCCCTCCAAACCTGCTTAAAAATTGAACCTTTTATCTGACATGCAGTACAGCAGAGAGTCAATAGCTTTTGGATGCTGCCAATGTTTCAAGGTCAGGCAGTCAGCATGGCCAAATCTATAACATTAAAGGCTTCATGTGCTAAAAATATAACTTAGGTTTTGATCATGTTGGGATATCACTAACAAAATAAATGGTGTTTGGCTGCAAGTGACCCTCTTCTGTCCGGTACTGATAAATGCAGATCTTAATTTCAAACCCAGATGGTATCTCCTGGGTTTGTTTTCTTTATTCAATGCAAACAGACTTAAGTTTATATGTGTTTTAAGGGTTGATGTACTTAGGAAACAATGCCTGGGTTTGGAAGATACACACTGAGGTTTTTTTATACCTGCTGTTCTGATGTTGGTGTCCTCTGTAGGACTCTGATGGCAGTGTTGGGGAGCTCAGTGAAGGTCAAAGACCGAGGCTGACCAGAGCAGAAGAGAGAATCCTGATGGGACATTCCCTTTATCTGGACCATCCAGCTGCTCAGAGCTCTGGGAACAGACCACACCAGGGATTCCGTCCTGCGTCCCCAGGACAGCTCACCCAAATTGGAGGTGCAGTTACACTGTTAATTCTTCTCTGGGGTGTTTATGTGGATTCTGAGGGTTTTTTGTAATAAATCTGAAATAATTTCAGACTGTGTTCAAAATCCAAAATTCACAGGCAATTCCTACAATGGAATTATTATCATCCCTGTTCTGAGAACTGGATTTAATTCAAGCCATGTGTTTACTCTTCTTTGCAATCTTTAACAAATTGAACAAAAATCATGGCAAATAGCCACTTGCCTATGAAAAAGATAACTTGTAAAGTATGTATTTTATTCTTTTAAGTCAAATTCAGTCCTGAAAAACACTTAGTTTAACCATGGATGCAGGTAGTTCCCATTGGACAGGTATTAACACCAGCAGTTCAAGCTGCTTCTCTCTGTGCCCTTACACAGCACTGCTCCTCTTGGCTTTTAGCACTCCATCCTGGTGATGCTGCAGTGTCTCATAAATGGCAATATATTTCAGCTTCATCTATTCCTATAATAATAGGGAAATTAATATTTAGTATTTTCCCACGTGGATAGCTGAGGAACACACATAATGGCTTGTACAAGGCAGTGCAGGGATAAGTTGCTGTGGTGAACCAGGGACTTTTATTTCTTTTCAGTTGAAACCAGTGCTGAAGCCAGTGCTCCATCCTTCCTCTCCCTGATTTTTTTATCCCAGTGTCTCCACTGTTATCTGAAAATGTACATCCACGCTTGTTTAATTTAACAGCTGCAAGCATGTAGAAACTCTTTGTTGACTGTGGTTTTAAATATGTTTAAACTAGACTGAAATAATTATTAAGCTGTTGCAACACAAACTTGGTTGCACTGATTCATCAGAAATTGTGTAAATTAAAGTGATCAAACAGCTGGTTTTCTGTCCTTTTAATTTTCACGTTTCTGGATCTGACGAAGGAAGCAGATCTCACATTATTAACCCTTGACCACTAGGAAGTGGATTGATATTGAATGTGTTAGACACATGGCAAAAATAATCTTGGAGAAATAAGAATATTTGCTTGGTTTTGAAGTGATTAAACATTTGAACTGGTTGCACAGAGAGTAATCTTTTAAAGTAGCTGTGACCAAATGTTTTGGACCAACTACATGTTGAAATACATTGAAAATACATTCTGGTACATTATGCATTGTTAAACATTTACTTTAAAGTGGTTTCTTGCTTGGAGATTGGTTTACATCAGGCTCCCTGGGGTAAGACATTTCTCCAAGTCACTTGTTTAACTCTGTTGCTGGAGGACAGTCAGCACTGAGGACACTGTGATAAAGGAATAAATCAGTGATCTAGGTCATTTGCAGACAGTGATGGGACAAAGGGGAACAGTTTTAAGCCAAAAGATGAGAGATTTACATTAGATGTGAGGACGAAATTCTTTACCCAGAGGCCAATAAGGCCCTGGCACAGGTTGCCTGGAGAAGCTGTGGCTGCCCCTGGATCCCTGGAAGTGTTCAAGGCCAGGTTGGATGGGGCTTGGAGCAACCTGGGATAGTGGAAGGTGTCCCTGCCCATGGCAGGGGGTGGAACTGGATGATCTTAAAGGTCCCTTCCAACCCAAACCCTTCTGGGATTCCATGGTTCTGTAAGTCCCTAACAGTGCTCAGGACCATGGAGTTAGAAGGTGCCTGTTAATGGGAGAACCTGTCTCTAGGGATATCTTCTCCTTACCCAGACTGTCCATAGCTGTATCTAGCATGGCATGTTTCTATCTCCTCTATATCTTTTCTTTTTTTTTAATTTATTTTATTTAATTTAGCATGCCCTTTGACTGTCCTGTAAATATCTTAACATTTTTCAAAACCAAACCAGCTCCTGCATTTGATGATAATCTACAAACAATGTGTTTCTCCGCTGATTTTTTTAAGCTCATTTCTCAAAATCTCATAGTATTGTTTTTATTTTAGTATTTTTTTGAGAGGAGAGAAATGCCCTGGACTAACTACCACAGGGGAATTGCCCTGTGCTTTCACACAATCTGTAATAATCCCACACTGAGTTGTGTTGCATTCTTATGATTTATAGTTTAGCTTCTCTCCCTCCCCACCTCTGAAAACAGCACAGTATTCATTGCATTGCTAAGGAAACATCACTGTGTAAAAGCTCAGGTCTGCTTTCAAGGCAAGAGTGTTTTCATATCAGGGAGGAACAGAAAATCTTGTTTCCAAGTCCTTTTGTTAGTGAAGTCAACGCTGAATAGGAAACAATCCGTTCTTGGAGGGAGGGTGGGGTGGAGGGGGGAAGGAATGATCCCTGATTGTTTCCATTTTCCTTCCAAATCTTTTTGATCTGACCACTGGTATGTGAGATTGCCAGTCAAATCACCTATTTCCTGATGGCCACAACAGCTGCAATGGAGGCCCATCATTTTATTGGACAGTTATTTTTAGGGCTACAATTAAATAATTGTTACACCACTGGGTGTCAAAGTTCACATATTTCAGGCTGTGCCTCTCTGTCCACAGAACCTTGCAGTGGATGCTCAGTTTCTCTCTCAGAATGAGTCGCTCACAGATGTATCTGTAAAAAATTTGGGGGTTGTGTGTCTCGTGTCTGGGTTATTTTCAGTTTTGTGCCCAGTTTTTATTTGTGTTATGGAAACATGATGTCCATTTGTAGGATGGAGTAGGTGTTGCTCATGTAGATACCCAACAGCATCTTCCTGATCAGTCCTTCATTTATAAATCCTTGTTTTCAGTGCTTAAAGTCATAGACATAAAAACCAACATGCAAATGAAATGTGGCACATGCAGTCTTAAAGTGAACAATAATTACAGTTAATTAAGCAATGATTATAGTTAATTAGGCTTAAAATTCGTTCCTTGGCTCTGTATGATAGCAGAAGGCTAAAGTTAGTTCAGGAGCTGTCAGTACATTTTTCATAAAGATGCTTCACATACTTGCAGGCTGCAAAAGCATGATAAATGCTGGATTAGAGAGCAAATTATCCCTTTAAAATAGACTATGTACAGGTTTCTTTTAATAATTTCCTGAAGAATCCTTTCCAGTCTCTTTCCAGTAAGTATGATAAAGCTCATTAAGCATCCAAGGTATGATGAACTGTACAGCTCTGAAACTCTCAGAAATGCTGCCCCATTAGAAATCTACAGATGATAAAACTGATTTATTTTTTCAATTTCCACAGACCCTTATTTCTTTTTTGTTCCCACAAGAACGGTTTAAGGGATGTACAAAAGGCCATGTAAGGAGGAAATCACTTTCTTTAAACACTGCATGTCGCACTGTTGCATTTTGAAAGGCTGCACATTCTGCCACAGCATTTGACCAGGAAATTACTGCTCTGGCTCATCAAGGAACTTTTTTCTCTCAGCAGAAATTCTTGGAGATGCAGATACAAGTCGTGGTCCGATGCTTTTGGCTGAGCTGGAATCACAGCCAGCTTCAAATCCCGCTCTGAGGGCAGCCCAGCCAGGCTGCACAGTGACATCTCTCTCGGAGGATCTGTCCCAGGTGAGCTGAAAGGATTCTTTCTGTGACTAGTCAGAAGGAGCAAACTGTAACCTTGGAAAACAGATTTTCCTATTCCACTGTCGTGCCTGACATCACAGAACTGCTGCATTTTAAGTGACACGTTCAGCTGAGAAATTGAAGTCAGAACTACATGTGTGTAATAAAAACAATTGTGTTCCCTGTGGCAAATCCTTACAATACCCTTTCTGCCAGGCTCAGACCTTCTCTTTTTACCTTTTCTGCACTTCCTCACAGCTTCACTGCTCTCACAGGATCTAATACTGATCTGATACTCAGTTCAGATGGGGCATTCCGATGTTTTAGGGGCACAGAGCTTCACATACAGAAGAATAACATCATGGGTATACAGGAGAGGAAACAGCAATGAGGGATTTGCCCTCAGAAGTTATAACCCACTGATTCAGCATTTCAGGAGCTTCATTTGTCCTAATAGGGGCAAGGTTGGAAAGGCAGTAAAGGATAATGTTCCTCAGAACACTTAAAGGTAGAGGAACATCCTATTGATCTCTGCTTCAAACCTAGACAGCTAATTTTTTTTTTATTAGTATGTGCTGTTACCTAGAGATGATGGTTTACTTGGTAACTGAGGATAAATTCAAATAACAAGTGGCAAAAGCTAAAAATGAAGTGGCAGACTGCTCTCTAATATGTGAAGCTTCAGAGGGTGTTTGAAAGTAACTATGTATTACCATGGTTGCTGTGTTCATGGATAAATTCTGACCTTCCCTGGTGTTCTATATAAAATAACCTAAAGTATCATTTATTCACCTGACCCTGCCACGTTATAACCCCCATTGCCACGTTTGGGTTTATGATTTTGAGCCTTGATGCCATTGGTGTCTGAGCAGTCCTTAAATATATCACCTGAAGTGTTGCATCTTCGAAGAGGATTTTAAATGTCACACCTCTTTCACTTTGAGATCACCAGAACATACTGTTTCTTGGAATAACTGTTCATGGGCAAAACTGGATTCTGTGACTGCTGTGTGTGTTGGGGTGAAGCTCATATCCTTGTTATTGTCTCACTGGCCAAAAGTAATGGGGGACAGAAGGGATAAAACATGTTTCCTTTTTTAGCCCCATTAGCTGTGGTAAAGAATACAGTGATACCTGCATCTTATACTCAGCTGATGGGGTTAGGATTGATTTTTGCTTTTTTAGATACAGGGAAATAATAGTTTACTGTGTGTAAGATTGCCCATGAACATGGTCTTACCTATGCAAGAAATCTGAGGTGATCTGACACAGTGTCTGTCACAGAAAATATACAGATAGTTATATATTGGCTAACACTTTGTATGTAGATAGTTATACATTATCTTATCTTCACAAACTTTTTCTTGCATCTGAACCCTTAGTGTGGCCTTTTTTTTTTTTCCTGCTGTCATGTAAAACTCCCCCTCCCTTCGAACCAAGCAACCAAACCCCTTAACTTTGTGTGGTTTTGTTAGGTTTGGTTTTCTTTCCCCCCCAACAAAACAACCTCTTCCTGTGTGTGTTTATTCCTGATGTAAGATTCCAGATCAGTGTTTCTCCCAGGCTCACCTTTTAGCTTTTCTCTGATGTGACCATACCTATAAGTGATAATCACAATAAACATCCCTCCTGGATGGGGCAAAGCTGTTTTCCATAAGATCCTCTGCTAGATTTCTACATCCTTCTCTGAAAGAAAAAAATGATCCCTGTACCAGATGATTTGAAAGCTTGTTTTGACAGCATCTCTCTGCCATGTGACAGTGATGAACCTTTCCCCTCCTTTCAATTAGGGATGGCATCTGTGCTCTGCTCCACGGCTGGATCTGCTTTGTCACCTGCCTGTAGGAATCAGATTTTCTGGGAACATAATACCAGCTTAGGAGAGCAAGAGCTACTCAGGCTTTCAGAATGATTCATTCATTGTGTGCAATGTTTAAGGAAAATAATCACTTTAAACTTCTTGAAAGATTTCCTCCCAGGTTAGTCACTGACTCTCACATCAGTTGCTTCTCATCTTGTTTTCCATCTGCAGGCAGTGTTTGCCTTCACTGAAGTTAAACTGTATCACCTACACACAAAGCCAGGAGACAAATCTATTCAGGAGCAAAGTTTGCTGAGAGACCTGAAGAAAATACACTATTTCAGGCAGGGTCCAGCCAGCCTTGGTAGAGCTTTGTCCTGATTTAACTGAGAATGATCTTCCTGGATGTTGGGGTTTGTTGTGGCAAAGCTTGGGTGGTTCCTGCAGTCTGTCCAAACAGGATCCTTATGTCAGGGATCATCTATGTACCACTTCTTTGCTCCCTGGCACTGGAGTGTAGATCAGATTTTGACCAGCAGAAAGAGCACTGAATTTTCATGTAGGGCACAAGCAAATGCCTTTTAGTCATGAAATCTGTGTGGTCACTCTCTCCAAAACAAACAGTTTAAGTCATATAGGAATTCTCTTATCTACCCAAATTCCTTGGCTGCTCCTCCATTTCTAGCATTAGATAATTTTGGGGTTTTTTTAGATTTATATATGCTTTTAGCCACTGTCAGACAGAAAGCCAGACTAAATGCATCTTCAGTTTGACCCCTTCTGTCCGTTCTTGTGCAACAATACAGGAATTGACTGTTATTTGTGGCCACTTTGCCCCCCTGCTCTCAGCTCTAAGAAGCAGGAGAACGACTGGGAGGAAGCTGGGCTCTTCTATTCTAAATAAATCATTTTGATCACGGGAGGGACAGGAACATTGAAGTCATATTTGTGTGGCTGAACATTCCAAAGGTGGCAAATCTAAATCATCTGAAGCCCCAAATGCATTGTTAAAATCTTAGGGAATGATTTGGTTGCAAAATATTTTCATGATATGCTTTTATAAGTATGAATGTTTTTATACAATCCACATTTTTTAAGTGGGATTGGCACCGTGGTGTTCTCATTAGCTTTCATTTTTTTAGTATTTCAAAAGACATGGCTTTTTTAATCTTCAGGAATGCATAATTGTAGGTTATGAATATGTTATCTCCCAACTAATGTTTGCACCTCAGTTCAGTTTAAACTGGTTTTTGGTTCATCCTATTAAAAATGCAAAAGAAAACAACAAAAAAACCCCCACACTTGAAATGGACCCATTTGGAAATGGACCCCACAATGGATCCCGTTTTGCTGCTGACATTTAATGTTCTGTAGCGTTGGTGGCTTTCAATCACCTTTCCACGAGACCTTTCTGCTTTCAGAAAATAATCTCAGCACTTTCTCACCTTGTGCACTTTAAATGATGAACAGAACTGGACAACATTGTGGTGGCAGAGGTGCCCCAGTCAGTGGTGACTCTGAATAGTTTTTCTTTTTGTTCCTTCTGGTTTTTACCCCGTTGGCTTAAATGGTTGTTAACTACATGAGAAGCAATGTCCTCACTGCTGAGATTCCTGATACCATCAGAGGCAGGTGTTAACTGAAAAAAATGGGAAGCCCTGATCACAGAGTTGGCACCATGTTTGCCAGACATAAAAATTTTCTTATTTTCGTTAATACTTTTGGCTGTTTGGCTCATGGCCTCCACAAATAGTGGAGGGTTTCTCTTGCTTTCCTTTCTCTTTCCTTCTCTTCCTTTTTAGCTTTTTCTTCCTGTTCAGCTTTTGGAGGAGGGGAGCAAAATCCCCCTGGTGCTGTGTCATGAGATCTTCAAGAGAACAGCAGTGCCACTGCTTCTCAGGGCATATCATTTTCCCTGAAGTCATAGAGCAGTTCTTTCCATGGGCTCCACATGCTGTGTGATATGCAAACACATATGGTCTTTCTTGTGTTCCTCCTTAAGGCTTCATAAAAAAAAAAAAAACTTATATTCATCCATGGAATCAACAGAATAACTGATGAAATCAAATTTGTCTGTCTTAAGAAAACACTTAATTCTTCTAGGTAGGCAGATGGTGACAGAACGAGGGGCACTGGTTTTGAACTGACAGAGGGCAGGATTAGGTGGGATCTTAGAAAGAAATTCTTGGCTGTGAGGGTGGTGAGGCCCTGGCACAGGTTGCTCAGACAAGCTGTGGCTGCCCAATCCCTGGAAGGGTTCAAGGCCAGGTTTGAAGGGCCTTGGAGCAACCTGGGATAGTGGAAGGTGTCCCTGCCCAGGGCAGGGGGTTGGAACAGGATGATTTTTAAGGTCCCTTCCAGCCCACACCATTCTGTGATTCTAGAACTCCATGACTGTGTTTTGCACTTCTTATATTTCCTGCCTACTTGTAATGGAATGTCCTCAGGACACAATTCCTCTTCCAGTTAACACATAAGATAACAAGCAAACTTGATAAATGTCTCCCTTTTTAACATGCAAAGCATTTGTTGCTTCTAAAAACTTTCCCTACAGCGTTGTTGCAGACCTGGGTCCTGGAGAGCATTTCAGCAAGAATAGAAAATGGTTTTAAAAACTGGGCCAAGGAAATAAATTTTAGACTTGACCTGGGTTTTCCAACCAATTAATATTTTTCTTTTCCCTTTCAAATTTCTCTTGTTAGTCAGGAGGATAATACCTAGGGAGAAGTCCTGGATATTGAAGAAAGCCAGGGAAATAGTATGTTCTTTCCACCACATGCTTTGAGTAAAAATTGAGGGTCTCCTGTGTCTTCAGGTCTAAATGGCACTTTGCCATCCATACCTACTGCTCCCAGGATGTTTGTCCAGAGGGAATAACATTGCAATAGGCTGATTGAGAGCTGAATTCTTTTGAAGTCAAAAGGAAGGAGAACAAGTGCATATCCTTTAATGAATCTTTAAAAACCTCTTTGGATGTTTCTTGAAGCTCCATGTAATCTTGCTGTGCTTTTACATCAAAAGTCAGATTTGTAATATGGTTTTAATGTGTGATACACAGGAGGAAAGCCAAGGAGCTGCACAAGTTGAGACTGTGAGACCACGAGTTATTCTTGTGAGAAGGATGTCTGAAGAGATGCAACAAGCAGGTAAATTATGTCAATAAGCAAACAGTTCTCTCAGTTAAGCACATCACTTTTAAATATTGTTGTATACTGATGTATAATAAAGGTCTGATTTTTTAAAATCTGGTTTTTATTACTATAAAAATTTCCAAGCATTTGTGTGTGCATAGTGTGTACATGTTTACATAGATCTGATATTGTTGGGGTGCACTCAAAGGATTGGAAATTCAGCCTGAAAAAGGCTCCAAGGAGACCTTAGAGCACCTTCCAGTACCTAAAGGATCTCCAAGAGAGCTGGAGAGGGACTTTGGACAAGGGCCTGGAATGACAGGACAAGGGGGAATGGCTTCACACTGACAGAGGTCAGGGTTAGGTTGGATATTGGGAAAGATATTCTTCCCTGTGAGGGTGGTGAGGCCCTGGCACAGGTTTTCCAGAGAAGCTGTGGCTGACCCATCCCTGGAGGTGTCCAGGGCCAGGTTGGACAGGGCTTGGAGCAACCTGGGATAGTGGAAAGTGTCCCTGCCCATGGCAGAGGGTGGGACTGGATGGTCTTTAAGGTCCCTTCCAACCCAAACCATTCCGGGATTCTCTGATTCTATTAAATGTATTTGTATGTAAGTCATCAAAATCCTTGTAATTAAGTGTTTATTTAAATTTGTGCTTGCCAGGAGCATTACAATGTGCATCTTGTGTAGTCAACTGAATCTTAATTGCTTTATAGAACGCTGTTCAGCAAATGAGATATTCATGATGTTGTGATAGAAGGGAGTGGTTCCTACATGCGAGAAAATGCAGGGGTGCTACACAAGAACTGAAAAGTAGTAGTAGGTTAAGACCATGCAAATGTGGGGAAAAAAATATAGATTTTCAATGTTAAAAGGACCTGGTTTGAGGTGGGCTTTAAGCTGGTGTGTAACAGATAATAATTTTTCTTTAGCGAAGGACACTCGGCATTATCTGTGCTATTTTTGGAGATTACTTAACAGTGTTTGTTGAAAGAGTTAAGGATGATGAAAGAGAGGGAGAGAATATCTTTTGTTTATTGTGGTTCAAGTCAGTTTGGAATAGCATAAACTGTGCACATTACTGCCATGTTTAATTGTTTCAGCAGATAAGAACTTTGTGGAGGTGCTGGTGTGAGATATGTAGCAGTTTTAATCTTACACGCTAAGAACAGGAATCTAAAAACCTGCATGTCTACAATATATCCAATTATCATTGCTCCACCCTAGCACAGACAAATTCTTCCTTCAAGCCCTTTTAAAAATAACTCTTTGAACTTCTTCCATTTAATTTTTTTTTTTAAGAAAACATCTCTTCGAATTAGAATTCCGAGGGAATTATTTTGCTTCAAATATTTATAATAAGTGGTAAGAAAAGCCCTAGGCCAGTGTTGTTGGAACCTCATTTCAAAACCATGGTTTGCATATGAAGAAAGTTATGAATAATGTAAAAATTATCTGTGGACAATTAGTGGAAAAGCTGACAGAACTGAAGTGGCACAACTCAGTGCATGTCTGGTATTTCCCTATACCTTTCCCTATACTGTAACACAAGGAATTTGGGCACAGTCCAACTGTGTCTGTGTGTCAGCTGAAAATGTGTGACCAGGAGATGGCAGTAGTCAATTTTCTTTGAGAGAATCAAAAGAAAAAAAAAAAAAGATGATTTAGTGATTTATATACCAGGATCATTTAAATCTCATTCAAAGCATACATATTTAATGAGCCAATAAAAATCTAGAGGATTTGGAAATGGAAACAACTGTCTGTCAGTGTTAACCAGAAGGTCTTGTCTCCATGAGCTTCACCACAGAGAACTTAATCAGGCAAAAAGTTGAGGGGAAAAAATTAATAAGAAGCATTTGAAAGAAAAAGGAAAACTTGCAACATGATAAGTGTAGGTGGGTTTAAGTAAATACAACATTTCAAAATCAAGCACATCTGTTGCTGTAAGTTCAAAGCACCCTGTTTATAAAAACTTCATGTCAGATGGTGGCCTTCACTGGAAGGGACAAGAAATACTTCCCTGGAAGTGGAGAAGCATTTTGGAGACAGGACCACTAAGGTAGTTTTTTGGAGTTTAAAGGGTAAGTGGTTGGATTGGTAGAGCTTAAGAAATCTAAAGCCCTGAGATGAAGTGTGAGTTCAGAGTGCTGGGAGAAAAGGGAAATGGTTTTGGACCTAAAGTTGGATGTAAGAAAAAAGCCATTTTTACTTAAATAATAAATACATGCCAATATTTGATTCATCTTTCTATGGCTATGAATATATACATATATATATATATATATATATATATATATATATATGATAGAACTTTCTTTTGTTGTTTAAAAATTTCTTGTGGTCTGCACTGAACATGTGTTTTTACTGAAGGAAAGTTGATTGATGGCTTCTAATGAAAGCTGAAGTTCAGTAGGACTGCTACAATATCATGCCTGAAAGGGTAAAGTCTCCTGAAAGTTACAGCTGAAAATCAAGCCTGAATGTATTATTAATTGAAATGTGTGCCTTCTCTAGACATAGTGGAGACAGTGGTTTGAAAACATAGAGTTGTAGTACATAATATACATGCATATATATTTTTGGCTTTATAATACCCTTTAATCTTTGTACCATTCTTTCATACATCTTTCATGCATTTAATGTGATAGTAATTGTTGTGGTTGGTGAATGCACATATTTCCAGAATTTAAGCATTTTCGGGCTTACATTAAAGGGATTCAGAATTTTTAAAATTAAAATGAAAGAGCAGGTGGCAATGTTTGACTGCAGAGCATTTTTAAACTTTAATAAGAGCAGCTCAGAACCAGAGGTGGATGTATCTTCACTTAATTATTTTTTCTGCAGCACGGACTCTCAAAATGTGACCCAGAGAGCAGAACTTCATGGTGGTAATTCCTTTCTATCTCCAGCTGGTGAATTATACTCAGGCAGCCATAAGTAGCTGAGAAAGTAATATTGGGACACTAAGGAATTGGCTTTGTTGCCACAGAGAGGTTGCACAATTGCTTGTGGAGGAGATGATCTGTGCAATACATGAATAAGACAACAAGAAGCCTTTAAAACAATCCATATAAAAAAAAATAAAGCTTCCATGGTCCTTGTTCAGTACTGAAAATGGGCTGCTTCTGTGTCAACATTGACAGGATGCTGTACTGAAAGCTGTAATACTGAAAATATGGCTATAACTAAATACTTCTTTGTCTCTCTTCTTCAGCCAGGAATTGCTCTGAGTTAGGTTTTGGGTTATTTTTTCTTAAAACTATTGTGGCGTGAGGCAAATCTGTACCAGATGCTTCAAGGAAGGAAGAAGATTAGGATAAGGCTAAAGGTCTTTCTTTTTTTTCTTAGAACTGGAACTGTTTTGGTCAAACTCAATGACTGTTCTATAGAAAGTTTACTTTTGCCTTAATATCCTGCTGTTTCTTTTTTTGGCCTGAATTTCACCGAAGGCTTTTGCTGAGGATTCTCCATCCCACCCCGAAAACAGCAGCTGGTGAAGCAAAGCAGAGCTGTTCTTCTTCCACACTGTGGAGAGAACCACCACAACCTGAGGGGCAGAAAAAGTGTGTGTGTGTAGCTCTTTGAATTCAGCTGTTTTCTGCGAGAAAATCTTGGAAATTGAAGTAATGAAATCACTTAGCTGTAATTATGGCATTCTTCAAGCAAGTGCCCTGTCAGAGGTTTGTGTAAGTTTTTCAGTGCTTCTTCAGAATTCGAATCATAAAATGGTTTAGCTTGGAAGAGACCTTAGAGATCATCCAGTTCCAACCCCCTGTCGTGGGCAGGGGCACCTTCAACTAGACCAAGTTGCTCAAAGCTCCATCCAGCCTGGCCTGGAGCACTTCCAGGGATGTTTCTGGTCTATTTTACCTCTGGTTTTCCCATCCAGTTACCTCTCTGTGCTATCAGGTGGCTCATGGACATCATTCAGTTAATATATTTTACGTTTGGGGAAGTCAGGAAATGCAAAGTAGCATTTCCTGCAGAAACTCTGTGTTTTCTATAAGTAGTCATCAGCTTTTAGGTGCCCCAAGTGGATTAGAACACCAGTTCTCAAGGAGTTTTTGATTATTCTGCACGTGTCCATAGGAGTTACACGGCAGCCCACGCAGTAGAAAACACATCTGAGTAATAAGTGTGCATTTTGCATAATATTCCACCTAAAATCCTCAGTAGCCATGCTTGAGAGTTTCTAGTTTGAATTACTGTAAGTACGAAAAGTACTGTGTTATAGTACATTTTTGGGGCAGGAGTGTTTAATTTCTTGGCTTTTGTAAGTATAACTTATCCATTAACAAGTGTCATTTATATCTGTGGTTGCTTCTTTTCCCACCGAGTTACTTCAGTTCTTTTTCAGGCAAAATGTTAAAGCAGAAGTGTGATTTTTTTTTTCCGTAGCTTAAGGCAAAGTCTTGTGCAGGATTGTTGCTGTGGACAGTGATGTGCTGCTGCTGGGGGTGTGCTCTGCTGCTTCAAGTTTGGGTCATGAGGAGCCAAGCACCAGGAGCTGCTGTGGGTCTCATGGGACTGTGCACACCTTTCTACCCGTTCCCAAAAGATCTCTTTCTGGAAAATGATCCTTTGCTCTCATAGAGGAATTTCTTCCCCTCACTTACTTGTACTAAAGTTATAAAGAATAGGAACTACAAGCAGGTGAAGCACGACTCTCTCTGGTTTGTATTTTAAACTCCTAGAATGTCATTTGATTTTCTGAGGCATATAAATGAATTGAAATCCAAGTAATCAGATGGAGAAATAAAAAACAAACAAACAAAAAAAATCCACAAAAAACAAACAAACAAACAAAACCCAACAAACAAACAAACAAAAAACAAACAAAAAACCAAGAAGACACAGTTTATATTTAAAGAAGATTGTACAAGGCAGGCTGATATTGCCCTGCAGTCTGAGGGTTTCCTGCTGAGTGCTGTGCTCAGGGAGAATCCATTCCCCTCTGGAGGCCAGTTCCACACCACATATCACCTGGACCTTTTCTTTTGCATCTACATGCAT